CCATCCATGGCTATATATTAAACCAGTACTGGACTCTTACCGCTTGTTGGATACTTATCATACTATCCATCCCCTTACTCGATGTTGGCTGTACGAGTCAAGTCTTTGGTTGTACTGCTTACAGACCTAGGCAACTTATTCAAAGATGTTCCCCACCGAACCCTATGTTATTAAGTGAAAGTCCGTCCTTTTCTTACTTCTCGCCCTATCCCGTTCGTGAGTCCCGACTGGAATCAAATCTTTTTTTCATTCATCTGTATTCCATGTATAGTATAGTATACACCAGTAATAAAGAAAGTTGTTAGCTTCCAGGTGGTTTGAAAGACCAGGCGCAAGGGCGTTAAGCGTGCCAGTGAGTTAGCTGCTGTCGGAAAAAGCGCAATAGCCATAGAGGCAAGTCTAAGTGCAGTTCCTATTCAGTCAGATTTCGCGAATAGGGGGCATTAGGGGCCATTTTCATACTTAAGTAAGAGATGATTATGGCTTCCTTATTTGCTCGAACTTCTAGCATTAGATATCCACGAGGGGAAGAGAATTCCCAACATGGGAGAGGTGAGGTTTGGATTGCAGCTAGCTAGGGTGTCTAGAGAATCTTTTCTTTTTCTTGAGTTATAGAAAGCTTAGTGAAGTCATACCTTTAGGATTTATTTCCTGAAAATGACTAAAGAACAGCAAAGGGACCTAGATCACGGAAAGGGATTGTTATGAGTAGATGTCTAGAGTACTATTCTTATAGAGCCGGACTAGGGAAAAACTATTTCACACCGGAAACAAGCAAGCTAGGCAGCTTTGAGCTTGTTCTCGAGAACAAATCCATCTTCCTAAGTCATCAAGATGAAGCGAATACTAAAGTAAGAAAAGGAAACTGAAACTCATCCCGAATGAGAATCTATAGTTTATAACCTGAGACGAAAGCATTGGGACTTCTCCTTGCCTGTCCGCTCTGAATGGCTACTAACAAGAACAAGGAAAGTTGCACATTGACAGTTGAGCAATCGTGGTTAAACGGTGTATGCGCGAAGTTCATCTTCTATACCGTCCATAGTTGGCGGGCAATTCGTCGTTCATGCAGTTGTCGCTGGAGATTGAGCTTAGTGCTAGGCTTCCGCTGTCGGTCCGGCCCGGGTGATAAAACTGAACGTACTTTGCTTAGTCATTCTGCTTGTATCGACTTCCGTTTGTCCCTCTGTTCCTGATCCTTTCAAGCATAGAATGAGGCGAGTGGGGATTGCCGAGTTTTAGGCTTATAAATCATAGGGAAAAGGCAGGCCTAAATAAATGCTTTAAAAAAGGGAAATTGGAAGTACTCTTACCGCGGACGCCAGATGAAGCTAAAATCCTTTGAATGAATGCCTTAGTAAGGTATCATGCCTTTGAAAAGCTGTCCAAAGGGAAGGGACCTTGAAAGCAAGGAAGGGCCTCTTTCCATCCATAGAATCTCTTCCTTATACTAGCACTTTCAGCTATCTTTCTTAACCAGGTTCTCTCAAACCAGCTTTGAAACTCCTACCATCGTCTCAGTGAAGTAGCCCATGGGTATGGGATACGAACGATTAAGAGTTCTTGCTAAAAGAAAAGGTACGTACTAACTGGGAGTGGAATCTATCCTACCTTTCAAGTAGTGCTTGATTGAGGGATGAACCCCGAATCCGTACTTTCCGGTACTATGTCTACTCCCTTTTCCTCTTCTCAATCTAGGGAGAGTACAACTATCAGAATAAGTACCGACCCGATCAGATCAACGAATAGCGTAAAGAATGCGGCTTGATTCCACAACAGGAAAGAAAGAGCAGCTAGCGAGCAACTTTGAAGCTTGTTCCCACAACTGTCTTACTCGATGAAATGTGTTTAAGCCAAAGGGCACAAATAAAGGCATCACATAAGGAATCAGACAACCTCCTCTTAATTAACATTTTTTAGGCCCTTCTGAATTTACCTACCCGATCCTACTAGGCTGACTAGCGCATTGCTCTTAGATTCGTAGCTTTCCCTCTAGTCTAGCTCATAGCCAACTCTCATCCCCGGGTTACCCGCTCATAGTTCTTGCTTTACCCGCGCACTTCTTTCATCCGAGGGTAGAAGCCTTAGGGAGGAGTTGATTAACATTCCCACGCTTTAGGGACTGATTTAGGAGTCATTTCTTTCCATTGATCGGATAGGCGAGAGTGAGAGTTTCGCTCTTCTTTATGGAAGAGAGCGGCTTTCGGTTCCTGTTATTGGTATCGACCTACTTCGTTAGTGCCGGATGGTCAAATTGGTATGAACATTTTGAAGCTATTTCATCGGGAGGGAATTTTTTATAAAAAGCCTTAACTTAAGGGTTCTCCAAGGTGCCTGTTTGAAGCAAATGGAAAAGATGTCTGCAAAAGCCGCTGCAATTGAATGAGAGAATCTGCAGTAATTAATTCACGAATCCGATACAGTTAACGAGAGTCGCCCGCGAGCCATATCAGTTTCTTGTCGGTCTCGCATTCAGAGACGTTTTTTTTCATTTAGACTAAGCCGAACACGTGTTAGATTGATTTCCGAAAAGGGTTCCGTACACCGTGAATTCCTTTATTCTGTTGGGGCTGCTTTAGCGCGGCGCTTGGTTTTGTGTGCTTTGCAGCAGTTTACCATTCTGCTGTATCGGATGCCCGAAGTGTGGACTCTTTATCTTAGCCATTGGTCCTTAAGGCCTATTCTAATAAGTTCTCAGTTTTCTTTGTCGCCAAAGCCTCAATACCTACTCTTGATAAGAGGTTGCTTGCTTAACTTAAGTTAAGGGGTAATAAGGCTACATAAACTAGACTTTACGGTACGGAATTAGCTCTATGAAGTTGGCTTAACTTGACTAAGTTTTTTTGCTGCTCATATCTATTGTTGAGTGTCTCGAGTTTCGCATCTCTTTAGAGGTAGGCTGTGAGGAGTCCGCGGAAAGGAGCCTCCGAGTTTCCGTCCTGGCTCAGTAAGTTCAGTTCGTCCCGAACGTCAGGCTTCTAGACTTAGTGCAGCGAGGCTCGTTCTGTAACGATTGGTAGCACTCGTGTAAGATCTGGTTTACTTGTTTCATATCATCCATATCCTAAGGGTTAAGATAACTATGTCTAGGATAGTTGGTAAGGATCATAGAGAAAAGGAGTGAGTCTTCTTCTTCCGATAATCTGAGTTCCCCCGCTTTGGTGAAAAGAAAGAGTGAGCGTTGGTTAAGAAGCAAGAGATCACCCTTCGCTTCGACTCGTGCTTCTTAACCCCAAAAACCCGTCCTCAGTTCGGATTGCAGGATGAAAGAATCGAATTGTGTCGGTTTTCAAAAGATGGAACCAAACCATTTCTATTTTGCATAGTGATAAGGGGTACTGTAAGCTGTATTTCTGGAAAGTCTATGAAATTGCGTTTTGACTCCTATCTCCTCTTCCTAACTTAGAATCATTGTCCTTATTAACTAGGTAATAAACCACTTACTGTTGTTTGGGACATAAGCACATGGAAAAAAATTGGGCACAAGAGACTACTAAATAAACCAGCATCTATCTTGTCTATAAGTTTGGATGGGAAATATCTTGCTCTGTAAGTACTTGAGTATGTATGAAGATATTCCTTTTTTATAACAATGCTTACTGCCTACAAGTGACCTTTTTCTGATTGCGTTATTGTGATAATTGATGAGCTTAAGGGAAGCAAAGACGGGGATGTTTGTATAGTTGAAGTTAATAAGATGGAAATTCGCCACTGGAGTAAGAGACTTCATTTGGGATCTAATGTTACTTCATTGGAGTTTTGCCCAAGCGAAAGGTGATTGCAACTTAACCTCAACTCGATCCTTTCTCTATCTCTTTATATCTTTTGGGTTTCTCAGAGATTGAAGATGAATTGGAATTTTAAATATTTGGGGTTGTCCATGTTTATATGTAAGAATTAGTAGTTATAACTTGGTAAGAGGCTGTTTCAACTTTAGGATTTTTTGCAAATATGGTTTATTTTTTAAAAGATACTGAAATACTTTAGCCATGCGTTTTGCTATTTAAGCAAAACAATGTACAACATAAATGATTTGCTCATCATTTATCTCAAATGTTATCCCACTAAGTCATGTTGTTGTTGTTGACTGGTTGTCCTTGTTGCCTACATTTTTTTCTGAGAATTTGATATTTTCAACTTCTACTTCTCTTAGCTGCTGTAAATGGATTCAAGTACTGTTGGTTACAATCCGACTGTTCAAGATATATTCTTAATTTTGGCTTGTTTAAAATGTGTATGCATATTCTTAAGTTGACTAATCATAATATTGATCGTTCGGTGTCTTTTGCAGGGTTGTGCTTACTACATCTTCTGAATGGGGAGTCATGGTGACTAAGCTGACTGTCCCTGCTGATTGGAAAGGTCTCTCTTTCTCTTTCTTTGTGTTTCACATTCACACTTTTTGCATTTCAGATCTGAATTTGATTCTTAACCCCTCTTTTCACGTGCAATGCAGAATGGCAGATTTACTTGCTACTCCTGGGACTATTTCTGGCTTCTCTTGTGTTATTCTACATATTCTTTCAGAAATCTGATTTGTTCTGGAACTTCCCTGAACCTGGCAGAAAGATTAGCTCTGTATTGACTGATTCAAATCCGGACGAGAAGAATATGTTTGGAGCTTTCGGACCTCTAGATATGTACCCTGACTAATCTTCATCAGAAGTTAAAAGTATAGCATTTGCATTTGAAAGTAGCCACTGTGTACTAGAGCTGCACATTTTTAAGGTTGCGGAAGTTATTCTAGGAAAGATCATGGAGATCTTGGAATTTTCATAGGTCATTGACTTGTCATTTTTGTAATGATATGAAAGATGAACCTTTTTGGTTGCTAGTTTCAGTGACCACGTCTGGGACTTTAATATATAATATTTTTCCTATAAAGAGTTGATGCTGTGATGTTGCATTTGGTTGATATTCGGAGTTGCTAATTCGTTTTTTGATGTTTAAACTTTCAAATTGCGATGAAAACTCAAAAAGTTGTAAGTGAATTCTTCTAATTAGCGGTATACATGGGAAGGCAGGCGAGGCCGGGCAATCGCCTCCAGAGGCCTGGCCTTTGGCATGGTCATGCCGTAAACCTCTGTGGTATCAATATCTTCAGGCCTTAAGTTATCAGCAGGGCTCCAATCAAAGCAATGAAACAGCCGAGCCAACGCCATTAGGACCAGTGTCACGCCAAGTGGTGCACCGGGCATTTCCTCTTCCCAGCACTGAACGGCAAGATCTTGAAGTCAGCTCCGTGGCTAATTTCCACTCGGCTTCCATCCGCTGGTAAATGCTTTCAGGTCTGAACTCCTCCACTTGTCGAGGATGCCGAGATTAACACAATTTTCGATCTAAAGGATCAAATTGTGCACAAAATGGCGGAACTAACGGCAGATCCGTTCTGGGCTAACCGCCGCCTACGGATAATCGAGGAATACTTGCAGCCCTCCCGCGGCGGGGAGTATAGTATTCAAGTATTACAAAAGAAACTAGGGCAGTTGTCCGAAGGTGAGCCGCGGAATTCATATGTATACAAGGAGTTACTTCGCGCCAAGGAAGATATAACAATGTTCCGATAGAGAAGTCAAGTAAGAAGGGAGGAGGCTAGTCCCCGAAAATGCTCCGCCCGTAGGAAACTTTCTCGTTGGGGCTTTCGATTCTTCTGTTTTGAACGTCGTAATAAGGTAGCCATAGGGGAGGAACCCCGTGGCTGGATTGAATCCGAGTAAGGCCCGGTCTCAGCCCTTTCTTCTGATCCGATCCCGTGCCTCAGCTTAGCTTCAATCTATTCATTCGTTTTGATAGGTCAACCATTCTCTTGTTCTATCTTGAGCCAAAACCGCCCTAAGGCCTCGTGTTGTTAAGAGATGGGGGATCGCCCTAAGGTCTAGCGATCAAAGAAGAAAAGAAGTCATTCGAAACAGCAAAGGTTAGAATACACTCGACTGTAAAGGAGAGGAGCTTAAACGCCTCACTTCACTCTATTCTCTTGCGGACTTGTCTGGTCAATCGGTCGCCCTCTTCCTTTGCGAAGTTGAACTAAGAAGTGGCATCGGTCTTTTCTTTGAATAAGCTATTTGGAAAGATAGGGAACTTCTTTCTATAAGCTATTATTTGGTAGAAATGGAATTGGAAATGGGACCGGTAACCCGACTCTTTGAATTGAGTACCTACGACTGTGGAATGCCTATTTTATTAAAATAGGAACTCAAAGTAAAAACTAGACTTTGTCTTGCACACTGACTTCAATCGTATAGAGATTTCCCACTGTCTGTGTCGATACCTGAAAGTACTCTTCCCTTACAGGGGAAGCGATTGCCTACTTTCTATGTCCGGAGACACTTACTGCACTCTTTCTTATGTCAAGACAGACAGGCGGTTATCAGGATGTACTCAAGGCCCTTCCTAAGCCAAATGAAAAGTAATCTTCCATCCAGTAAAGTCAGTCCTAGTTCCGCGCTTCCTCTTTTCTTTGGCATCGTATAGTAAGATGGGCTGTACGTATAGAGAAGGAAAGTCTATTTTCCTAGAGTCTAGCTAACTCTAACCCACTTGAAGAGGTTCTTCTTCTGCAGTAGCGGGTTTGGATAGTGATCAGTACCCCTCTCCTTCTTCCCATAGAAAGCTTTTTCTATGATGGTTGACTGAACTTTAAAAGAATAGGCCCATTGAGTTATGCTACTGGACTTTAGGCATCTTTTTATACCCCGAAGCGGAGAAGCTGAAGATGGATATCGGATACCCATTCTATAGAGGTCGACCTTGAAGATTCGTCGTTCATCCTCTATTCGAATGTGAAGTGTTGAGATATCCGGTCTGGCCGGCGAGCAGATATCTTACTCGTTCTTGCATTACGCGCTTTTTCGAGTCAGTCCTATCTTATTCATTAGAAAAAGCCGGTTCATATGGAACGAAGGAAGTGAAGCTATAAGAAAAGACTGATGCCCCTGTTTTTAAGGAAGATCGATAAAACCAAAACCTTCATGTTATCCGAATCCGGCGGTTATGCATCATGAGTTAGGAGGGCTTTCTTGATAGAGCGTTTAATGCCAGGAGTCCCGAATTCTTCTATACAGTTCGAGAAGAGTTACGAAAAGCCATCGGCCAATAGTGCCCTAGTTACCTGCGGGTCGGGCCGGTAAGCCTTTGGCTAAGCTAATGTTGATCAATTGATTAGAGTGAACTTTGATCTCCTTTACTTGATTGATATGAAAGTGAACCTTGGCTATCTTACGAAGAGTCTAACTCTCTAAATCTAAAAGATTGACACTAAGCGAAGAATGCAGACTGGAGACTAAACCAAGGGCACTTCTTGAAAGGTTCCTTTGATAGAAGATCGGTACTTAAAGTAAGAAAGAGGGAGAAATAAGATAGTTATTGCAGCTAAAGGAAGCTAGCCACAAGGAAGAAGAACTCTTAGACCCGGATCCCAGCCCCCCGCGGAACAGGATTTTCTTTCTCTTTTCCAAGCCCGGTTATTAAATCTATGCTCTACTCAATCTCCGTATACGCTTCCTTCCTTGATCGACCCAGAATGTACTATCTCTAGCCGTGAATTCACTATACGAACATTTCACATATGAAAATCTATTGCACAAGTATGTTATTGAAATAAGTCCATGCTATCCGCTACACAGGGTTATTCAATTCCGTTCCGTTTGATTCAAAGGCAGGAAGCCAATTCGATAGAAGAAAGGATCTATTCCTCTCAATAGCAGCTGAGGGATATGAACAAGAGCTAGATCTCCCTCTTTTCCTAAGTGAAAGTCCAGTTCGTCCCCGGGATTTCGAAAGAAGGGCCCCAGTCTTGCTTAAGACATAAGGGGGTGTTCATACCAAAAGACCAATTCGTCTTAACAGAGTCTATACCCGGTGCAGCTAAGAAACAGTATAAGGCGCCATATACAGTCCATCTCATCTGAAACAGTCTTAAAGGGAACTTTAGGCCATTATAAGCCGTATTCTGATCCTCATGTAAGTGATTCACCATATCATGCGTGAAACGGTGGAAGGGCCCTCCGCATTGTGTGCATCCGAATGGTAAGACCGCAGCTCAGACCCTAAGAAATTGGAGCCGAAGAGGAAGTCTTTCAAGGCTGTTCCGGGTATTGAATGATGAATATTCGGTAATAGTTCGCGAACCCTATGTGGTCGGCCTTCTTACCAGTCTGCCTCCTTTCTCTTGATGGAATATATCACTGAGCTCCAGCTTTGCTTGCCTTCTTCGCCGGCGCTCGCCGGCCCTCATTTCACTCCTAAGGCAAAGGGGTGTACTCTTCTTTTTTGTCGATCGAGCCGCTCTCCCTCATTCCACTCGTCCAGCCCTCTTCACGAACTTGTATAATCGATGCTACGGAGATAGCCAACTCTATTATCAAAAAGAAGGAAACGGGCGAAAATTTGGCACCAGATATCCGGAGGTGTGGAAAGAGCAGCTGTCAAAAGCGGAAAAACCATCAAAAAACGACGATTGTTCGTGGAGGTTTCTACAGAAAGACCCCTTGATTCTGGCAAACGGATCACAATTACAGGTACCTGAGAGCATACCGATGGAATGAACGAAATACGAACAGTTAACATAATATGGTCATAAATCTTAGGTTGTAATTTAATCATGAGCGAATTTGTTGATGTTGCACCCATGAAGTATGGAAAGTGCCAAACATTGGGAACTACCCGGGGAGTTAGGAACAGGAACAAGGAAAAGCGAGAACCACTTAAATAGAGGAATCGATTGTATTTCGTCCTTTGTTCACCATAGCAACTGGGGATCAAAAAGCACCAAATTTGATGACTTATTAAAGGAAAGATGAAGTAAGAGCATGCTATTGAAGACGTTGCAACATATGTCGAGAAGGCCTCCGTTGATTGTGTACAAACAAAATACGAGTCCAAAGGCAGGCTAAGAAAGGGTTTAGCTAATGGAGATATTAACTCTTCCGGGAACCAGTAACGCGTAAACCATGTCAAACCAAGACCAATCAATATCCGAATGGAACGGATTCGAACTTCTCCTAGAATAGTTTCCAGTGCGAAATTAAATTAATAAGAAATTTATGAGTAATTCAAAAGAAAAAAAGGATTCTATTCATTAACAAATAGGTGGAGCATAATTGAATCACTACATTGACCAGGAAGGATGCGAAGCTATTAGAAGCTATTGTTACTTACGATATTTCTTATCTTACGATATTTCGAGTTGGATGAAAAGAGCGCTCCTAAATGAATCCTTTCTCAACTATACGATACCGCCAAATGAAGGGGACTTACTGAGCGGATTGGCTATGCGGGTGCCCCTCGATACAAAGGAATTGACCCCGGGCAGCAGGTAAGAGACAAAGGAAAATTTCTCAATCTCCTACAAGACGGTCTAGAGGATAGTACCTTGGACTGAGAGAGGATTGACTTGCGGCTTACAAACTAGAACTGATTTAGCTCTCTTGCACCGGACACTGCGTTAACGCTAGAGCTACTAGTTATAAGCTTCGTTCGCACACTCCTAATAGCTTCACTTCTTATTGCTTCACTTCGTTCTACTTCGCTTGATTCTCATGCCAGTGGACTCGTCGCTCAGCTTTAGGCCTTATTAGCTTCATTTCTGAAGTGAGCATGAAGTCAAAATTTAATAGATACTGAGAAAGCGTCTTTCGTGATGAAAGTTGCAAGTTTGGATTGAGAAAGAAATCAGCTAAGCGCAGCTGAATCAATTATTATAGGAGGCGTAGGGTAGAAGCAAGGAGAAAGGCAGGAGCAGAGTCTGAAGGAGAGAGCGAAATGAGAATGTAATACTTGGAACGAGTAGAGCTATATAGGTTGAAAGGAAGAAAGTTGCTAGACTTAGAAGTTTTGATGAAGTCAAGCAAAGGAGGTAAGCTCACATACTGCTAGCATTGGTCCAGCAATCTTAATTCCGTATATAAGCAAGCATAATGCTTACTTACGGAGAGAGACCTTCTCTTTTTATTATTGTGGCTAAAGCGTTTAGTCGTGGTTTGAATGCTTTGTTAACTAATCGCTTAATTGTGCCATATGCCCTTCCTCGGAATTGCATCCTTATTACGCACTTGGCGCTTATATCAGAAATGTAGAAAATCTTCGCCAATTTTTTCTGGGGTCACTCGGATACCGGACACAAGCATCATTGGGTTTCTTGGGAAAAGATTTGCTACCCTACTAAAGAAAATGGCCTTGGCTTGCGTAGTATGCCGGA